AAAATTAAGTGCCTTTTAGGTACAACATAATTTGTCTATGAAAGCTAAGGAAGAAAAGTCTCTTATTGTGTACCAAAACTAGTAAGCAATCCTAGCAAACATGTAATAACTTTAGGTTCTGAAAGTCATTAGTGTTATTGTAATGTCTATAGATATTTTATTGAAGAAATTATGTACAGTACCTGGTACATATTAGATTTTTAAAAAATATTGTCACTGAGTTGAATTTACTGTACATAACCATAATCCTAGAATGAAGATTTCTTTACTCAGGTGGTTTTGTACTTGAAATAAAGATGTAATATAATTTTATATTTGAATATACTAATATAATATTGTAATGAAGAAAAATAGAACTTGAAGCCACACTTGCTTGAAGGATATCAGGCAAGAAAGTATAGATAACTCAGATGAAATCAGCAACAATTTTTTGTCTACCATATGCAGTAGCTCTATAATTACTACCACTGAGCTTTTAAAAAAATGATTGATCAAAAGTATCACTTTTGAATATGAAAGTTTATATAATATATAGACTAGCAAGAAAACTTTTACCTACTATTCTCAGAATCTTATGGCCCAACCACAAATATGTTTTATATCCATGTTGAAATTAGGACAAGAACTTCCAAGGTAGTAGTGAGGTGAGGTCCATAGTTTCCCTTTAAAAAGTACTCATTCTTCAAAGATTTCCTTTAATATGACTTAATTTGCCTGTGGCTACACACTTTAACACTGTTCCTTTGCCTTGAGTTTGTTAGAACAACGTTTATCAAGGACTTCTCACTTGCAATCAGAGACAAGGAGTTGAACAGCTTGTTCATTATTATAGCCAAACAGTGATTTGATTGAAGGTACTTCATTGATGAGTGCTCAAGAATCTTTAATAATTTTTCTAATTTTTTGAAGAAATACCAAATTTTGCTTATCTGGGAAGTACTCTTCTTCAGCAATCTGTATTCCCTCCCTGTTTATGTGAACAGCTAAAGTTATTATCTGAGATTGACATTTGAGATAGCACTCCTTTATTGGGTAGATGAGTAAATATGTAGTATATGTATATATCAAGTATCGAATCAACTCAATATTGTCACAGACAGAAAACCTCTGTCTATCAGTACTATAATTCTTTTGGCTGATGGCATTTATATTTCTTTAGGAAGTCTCATATCTTGGCTTTCTCAGGACAAGAACATGGCTTTACACCAACTCTAAAAGCTATGCAAAAATACAACCAAATACAATCTAACAAAATTAAGAGGCTCTGAGGAGGTGATTTAGAAATGCAAAATATTGCTAACTGGAACATCTCAGTTTGTGATTAGAAAATTTCACCTCTTTTGAGTACTAGTCCCATCACAGTTAACAAAAGGTAAGACTCTGACCTCTCAGTCCTCATGCCTCCAAACATTTGGACTCAACTGGGTTTTGGTTTTTACCAAGTTTTACTCAACTGTTATTATAAATTGTAGACTGTGAAAAAAAAGCTAAGAAGGAATATACCCACATAAGAGTGAATTTTTGCTTCTCGCTATTCTAAACTCTACATTTATCAAAAGAAACTTATTCTTCAATTTTGATCCACTTAACTTTTCTTTAGATAAATAAAATACATTATCTGAATTTTAGACCTATTTTGAATACTCTTACACTAAGAAAGCAAAAGTCTTTCCCAGCTAAGAAGATAATATAGTGTAGTAACAATATACTAAATAAGAGGCAATGTTGCCTCATTTTGTCTTTATGTGAAGTGCTTAACACTGCCTGCCAGCACATAATAGGTAGTAAATAAACATTAGTTACTATGTTTTCTCACAATAAAATCATTTTCCTTTAAAAGATTTTATCACCTCTTTCTAGCTTTCAACACATACACAATACTGTTCTCAATCATTCTATGTCCCAGCCTCTATGATTCTTGGAGTCCATTAAATCCACCACACAGAAATCACAAGTTAAATTTCATTAATGGCACAATTATTCATGTGGGCAAAGAATTAGGCACCTAAAAGGTCTACCAATGTGCAGAAAAATGATAGGACACTATTTGTGCAAAAAGAAAATATTGTCAAATGTGGTGGTACATGTTTGTATTCCCAGCACTCTGGAAGGCTGTGGAAAGTGCATCGCAAGTTTGAGACCAGATTGGGCTACTTAGATCCTATCTAAACATAAAACAAATACAAAAAGACTGGGGATGTAGCTCAGTGCAAAGGCCCTGGGTTCAATCCTTAATACCCTGCCAAAAAGTAATATTTTAATATTTTAAGACAATCCACAACTATAAAATTATCCTGTTAAATGAATTAAACTGGAAGGGAAAAAAAGCATGATTTTCACCATATTACAAGAGGATTATAACTAGCTAAGAGAAAAAAAATATGTGAAATACTTAATGTATACTGTATCAAATTAGTTGTTTGGAAATTCTAATAAGAAAACTCAGCACTTGAATGACCTTGGCTAAAGAAATGAAGCCATGTTTTAGGCCTCTCCCAGTTTGATGAGTATAACAGGGAGGAAAAGCATGAGTAAAGTAAAAAATCATCACTTAAGTATTCTTGCTTATTTTGAATAAAGACCTGCATAGTTTGACCATCATTTTCTGAGAGGACCCTTTCACTGAAGAGCTGATGGTCAAGATCCAGAAATCTAGGTAGAGATGAAATGTCAGCCTACAACTCTAAAAATTCAATTTACTTGCTGGAATCTATTTGTTTTTCCTTTTGGGAAGAAGGAGAAGGTGTCATCACAATATACTTGAGGAAATACTGCCTAGATTGTTTTTGACTTTCTTAACCATTCCTCATGGGTTGCTTTAAAAGAGACATCTGTAAAAAAAATTCCTTCAGAATCAACAGGCATTTGGAATCAGTCCTAATCAGGTAGATGATTTCTTTCAATTCCTCAAATACTTATTGAATAGCTATAGAATGTTCAGTCAGTATCAAGGTATATACCAAAAAGTATGATTCATTCTTTATCCTTAAATTTGCTTATTTCTGTTGTGGTAGGAAGAGGATGGTGATAGAACAAGTCTTATATCTATAAAATAGTATAAAAACAATTCAAAATAATTGAGCACAAAGAGCTAAATTAAATTGTCAGACATAGTTTCAATTTTCATGGAAATGGTAAAGTGAAGAATGTGAGTAAAGACCCAAAGGCAGGAATAGCATGGTATGTACCCAAAACATTGAATTCTACAATCACTGAAGCAGAGAACATGTTGGGAAATAGTGTTATTATGTTGATGTAAGCATTTAAAAGTTTTATATTAAATATATAAATATATGAATCTGTATTTTCATATTTTATGGATTTTGATATAGAGTCTCCCTATGTATTCCAGGCTGGCCTTAAATTAAACATGTAGCCCAGGGTGGCCTTGAGCTCATGGCGATCCTTTTGCTTCAGCCTCCAAAATGCTGGGATTACATGCATGGGCTATCATGCCCAGTTTATATTTTCATATATTATTCTTATCTATCTGTGTACACTACTTATAAATTTTATAAAATTTAAACATACTATGTGAGGATATTGACTTTACAAGTTTATCTACTTCATGCCCTCATATAGGACACTTTACACTGTTTAGGAGATAATCTTTACCTCTCTACGATAGCAACTCCAAAGGATACATGGATAAGATAATTATAATTGTGCTATATTCATCCAGATTTTTAAAAATACGAAAATACATATCTTAATAAAAACGTGATGATAGTACACTGTGTTTATATCCTTTAATTTTTATACTGACTTGTATTTTATAAACTGATTTTCATGTCACAGATGTGACTATGAAAAATGTATGCACCTTGAATCCGTAATGTTAAGTGAAATAAATGAGATGCACAAAATTACAAAGAAAAATTAAAGAGCAAAATAAAAAGACAATAGGAAACAGGGAGATAGACCTTTTGCAAATGGGAAAGGTACCAAGAGATGGAGGGGGTAGTGGAAGGAGACATAAAAAGAATTAATATATGTCATGTACGTATACCTTCATTATGTACTGCAGGCATGTACTAATAAAGAAAAAAGAAAAAAAAAAGAAAGCTTATCTTTGCTTACTTTGTGATCCTTGCATTTGCCTCAACATGAATGGTTTGCATTCAGAGAATGTGTTGAAAAGGAATCATCAGTGGGCAAGTTTAAACCATTTGTCGTTTGTATACTTAGGAACAAGTGTGTTTTTATTACGCTTGTTTCTACACGCAATGTTAGAGTTAAAATGGAGTGTGACCTGAGTTATTCTCTCAGCAGTGCATCTTGGGGATAGAGGAATGATAGCAAATAATAGTGAAAATATTGGTGCCAAAGGATATGATCCCAGTAAAATATGTCTAATTTAGGACTCTATTCATAATAATTTGTGTTTAGGATTTCAAATGTCTCTAGGTCCATGAATTTTCTATACTTGGCCCTGAGCTACTCTTTTCCAAGTTGGATTGACTAGATAGATAGATATTCAGTCCAAATAATAATGGAGGGAATCCAATAAAAATACATAAAACACATTGAATTGAGTGTGTTTATTATTCTAACTTAAAGACAAGCTAATAAACCAAGTTTCCTTTCATCGAGTCAAATGAAAGTTATTCTTTTATAATCAATATGATTCAAATAATTCACATTTTTTCTCCACAGGAGACAGGTGAGAAAGCCATCTGGTGATAATAGGAAAATCAGAGATTTTTATTAATTTATTTTACTGTTTTATTTAAATACCTATATTCATGATTTTTGATAATAAAGTTTTTCAATCATTATATTACATAGAATTTAATGAAATTAAAAATACTATTGTGATCCTATTCCTTTAAATTTGTGACATTTTGGAAAATATATTATTCATATACAAAGATAATTTAGTGGTTTGGTTCATGTGATGATTTTAATAGGCAATTTTACTTTTCTCATTTAAAATCAAAATATCTGTGAACTTAGAAAAACATAATATTCTTCATAATTGTGATTGATATTTGCTTCAGGTTATAATGCAGGATGATGGCCCTGAGAAATTGGACCCCAAGTATTTTGGAGAGTTGCTTGCTGACCTATGTCGTAAGAATACTGATCTATATAACTGCTTATTAGAACATCTGCAGAGAATTGGAGGAAGGTATTGTAAACATATATTTTCTCTCAGTGTTGTAGCTATCAAATATTTTACTACATTCTTATACTTTTTAGATTTTTTAAAGAGAATTTTTAGGTTCACAGAAGAAACACAGTACTCTTAATGGGGCAACTATATGAGTAAAGCTGAGCAGATGTAAGAGTTAATGTCATTTATGAAAATCATTAGACAAAGATCACACAAAACCTTTTGTGATCAGCAAATAACTTTGTATATCTTTTTTGTAAATACTGGGAAGGCAAATCAGCTTCTTGGGCAAGGAACTAAAAATTGCATGAGCATGTCAAAAAGTCAAAAGATAACTGCTTGTAAGTATGTGGAGAAAATGAAACTCTTACACTCTGTTGGTGAGAATGTAAATTGGTAGAGCCATTATGGAAAACAGGATAGTAGAGGTTTCTCAAAAATTAAAAATAGAACAGACATATGATACAGCCATACCAATCTTGGGTATATATCCAAAGGAAATGAAATTAGTGTATCAAAGAGACATCTGCACTTATTTTCATTGCAGGAATGTTCACAATAGCCCAAAAATGGAAACATTCTTGGTGTCTATTAACTAATGAATATATAAAAATTGGGTACATGTGCACAGTGGAATACTATTTAGCCATAAAAATGAAATCTAGCCATTTGTGACAACATGAATAGAACTGGAGATCATTATGTTAAGTGAAATAAGCCAGATACAGAAAGACAAGTACCACATGATCTCCTTCATCAAGGAATCTAAAAGTGCTGATCGAGAGGACAAAGATACTAGGGGAGTTGGAATACAGAAAATTTGATCAATGGGTACTAAGATACAGTTAGGAGCAAGAAACTCATGTATTATTGCACAGTGAGATGACCATAGACAGGAATAATATATTATATATTTCAAAAACTGTAACAAAGGATTTTGAAAGTTTTTAGCACAAAGCGAGGAGATAAATATGTTTACTCTTACTTAAATATTATGCAATATTTAACGTACAGGTACATGTATCAAAACATTACATGATATTCTATAAATGTGTAAAGTTTTTTGGTGTTAATTAAAAACACACATGGTATACTACCACTTGTTTTAAGATATTACATTTATGATATAAGATGTAGTCCCATTGCTAACCTACCACTGTTTATATTCTAATTATGTGTGCTTAATATATAGAAGCTGGTATTTAATATGTACTTAATATATTATATATAAACTTTGTATAATACATTAATTACATATATTATATATTTTACTGCATATAAATGATTAATTAGCATTTATAAAAATACATCAAAATGTTATATAATATTATAAAGAACATCTAATTATGCATTGATGGATAATTATGCATAGATGGAACTAGAACCTATACTCTCGGAACCTTTATTCCTTAGGCAAATCGTTTAACTTTTCAATAATGTGTAATGTCAGGCAAATTGCTTAAGATAGTGCAGACAAATTTAAAGAACTACTAATTATTTGCATTATTAAATTTGAAAAGGATATAGGGTTAGGGCTGATTTTACATTGCTTAAAATTTGCCTCAGAATACTTACTGTTTATATAAAGTATAGAACAGGATACTATTCATATTTTCATTGCCCAAGAGTTTAGAGTATGTGATCTTTGTAAAGCAGCTGCTCAATAAGTTTTATATAATTTGACTTAAATATATTACTGAGCAAGGGAACTTAAATTATTTCATAATTAGTAAACTCCAGAGTAAAGTCTTATAAAATTTTGGTGCTTAAGAGTTTTCATTTGTCAGAAGGCTGTCAATTTCTTTCTCTTTATTGCTCTCCCACTCCTCAATTTCTCTCTCCTTTCTTTCTTTTTTTTCATCATTTCAGTTCTTCTTTTCCAGTAAGTGACATATAGTGAGTCACTCTGTTTTGTTTTTGCCCAGTGATTATATTGTCACCATCCCCAGGGTTAAATGGAGATATAATCCCTACTAATCTTTCCACCTTCCTGATCTGCTCTTTGTTTCCACTTTCTTCCTTTGCTTTGGTCTCTACTCATCTATTTCCAAAATGCAATTCAACAATGAATGAGTTTCAAGGTCAGAATTAAGGAAGGTTGTCTCAAGGAACAATTCTGATTACTGTTTAAAATTCTAAAATTAAACATTATTATTTTTTTTAATTTTTAAAAATTTATATATTAATTGGTACATTTTAGGTGTGCAATACATTTACATTTATCATTAGGTGTTTGTACCTGAACATGATGTATCTTAGTTCTTATTTTTCCCCCATTACCTATGCGCCCTTCACTCCTACCACCCTTCCCTATTTACATAGACTTTGTTTCCGTTTTTTTTTCTTTCTCATAATTTTTCCTTTCCTTTCTTCCCTTTTCCCTTCCCCTCCCGCCACCCCTACCCCTTTGGACCTTTTCCTATTTCAAATTATCAATTATTCATTTTAATCATGTTGGAAACTGAATAAAGAAGATGTGGTTTTTTTAATAAAATGGAGTACTACTCAGCCATAAAGAATGAGAAACTAGAGTCACTTATAGCTAAATGGATGCATATTGAGGCCATACTCTTTAAGTGAAATAAATAGGACACACATGTGTAAATACCGAATAGTATCTCTAGTGTGAGAAACTGAAAGTGTAAATAAAGGTGAAAATGATTAAAACAAATTAAACATTATTTATTGCTCCTTGTTTTTTTATTGTTTTATATTCTTATTTACACAAAGAAGCAAGTGACTAGGGACATGTATATTAAATTGACATTGAAATTGTGAGAAAGAAAGATTAGTATTTTTAAACACAAAATTATCTATTAATACTATCATAAATCCTACAAATATTGAATCAAGGCTTTTGAAGCTTCATTGTGATCCATATTTTTAACTTACTTTAGTGTCAAACATATACATACCATTACTTCAATAAAACACTAAAAATTAGAAGATTTGTTTTTTTGCTAGACCTCCCCACAATTTCTATTTTGAGTAACAAGAACATACTACGTACATGCATGTAAGCAACTGTACCTATATAGTCAGGCCTTTAAAAAATGCAAATTTCAGTTCTTTTTTCAACACTAGCTTGTATATTTTTATAAATATACCTAATAGGTTTTGTGCACTCAGTGGCCCACTTATCTCTGTGAGCAATACAGTATTCGTAAACAATTATTTAAAAAGTAAATGTAGCTCCTAATGAGATAAAAATTCTTATTCTATCTGGTGCTTGCCTGTAACCCCAGCACTCAGAAGGCTGAGGCAGGAAGATAGCCATGAATTGGACTGACCTGGGATACATAGTGAGTTCAACGGCAGCCTGCGCTACATAGTGAAACCCTGTCTCAAAGAAAACAAAAAAAAACTTACTTTAAAATAGTCTCTTTCTGTTAGAATACATACACAGTTTTTCATTTGTTTTTTTTAGAAATATATTCACCATATATATTTTGGCCCAATTCTTTCAACAAGTGTAGAGACAGCAAGTAGATTAAAAAGATTCTCTGTGCCCCTGACAATAATAATGGTAGCCTTTCCCATTTTCACCATTCCAGAAGGAGTAACCTCTAGTTAGTGTTAAAACCACTAACAATTTTCCTAAAGCATTTGGCTCCATAAAAGGCCTCTAAATCCCCATAACCAAACACTCATTTTGATGCCAGAAATTGTATTACCCCACTAAAATTCTGGTCATTTTACGTAAAGCTATGCCTTATGTAAAGATTCAAATACACTTCAGGCCTCTTCACTGCCATAGTGTACATTGAATGAGTTAGTCTTATCTTACACGTTCAAGCTTTTGATTTTAAAAAAGTATAAATAATTTGAAAAGATGGCAGACAAAAGGTGGAATCACCAAAAAATGAAAGTAACACATGGAGAACAAGGAGGTAGAAATAGAGAGAAAGATTATTTTTATTTCATTCATCCAGGTGGCATTTATTGCCAAGCACTGAGGACTTCTACATCTAGCCTCAAATGGACCTGTGGTAATAGGTACACTAATCAATTCTGTATAGTTTATTATTCTATTATTTAGATGTTGTACATTTTCAATAGATCAACTAATGCTGAAAATTTTTAAAATCAAACTTACTAAAAGTGCCATTTTAGATAGTATTATTTTTTACTTGTGATTATAAATTTAATTGGTACTATTGTGATATATCAAAAATATAAAATTAACAGAATAGCATGTATGTATGATCAGTGAACAAATTTTCCTAAGATTGTCTTTTTTGTTATTATTACAGCAAACAAGACTTTGAGTCTACTGATACAGTAAGTACAAAAATATTTAAAATCAAATATAGTAGATTTTGATATTTGACTCCTATTTTAATTTAGTATATTTATTAGGCTGAAAACACAGGTTGGTGAAAGAAATAATTATTATTTTGCCATTAGAATAATATAACCATTAAAATTTTGTAGGGGCTATAAAAAATCATTCACAAAAAAATGTTTCATCAATTGGCAGTTTAGGATTCAATTTTAGCAGAACATTTAAATTTTCCTTGATCACATGTTCTCTGCTTTAGAAAACTGACATTTACATAATCAACTAAATAAACAGCAAATTTAGTTTTAATATGCTTCAAAGCCTTGCATATGCCAGCAACTTGAACTAAATATTTTCTAAGCTATACAAATTTTAAATAATTTCTTTTAATGGAATAAGTAATCAAGTAGAGAAAACTGATTTCAATGCAAGAAAAGTACAATCACATTTTTTGTGTTAATTTTTATCTTAATTCCTTTGTGTTAATACGCTGCATTAATTACAATAACTCAGTAAATCCCAAAGTGTTTTTGAAAGGCACTTATTTCAGCTTCTCACTTAAAATTACTTGAAGCTTACCAACACCGATGTAATAATGTAATCCTTCAAAAGCCATGATAATCCTTTGTAAATTATTAATAAACCCTGTAATATCTTTAATTTTATTTCCCAAAGTTTGCACTATTTAAAGGTTCAGCTTCTAACATACCATATCTATCATGTTAGAAAACTTCTAGTTGTTGAGATAGATACATTAAATGATGTGTTTAATGGAATTTAGTAGACTATTTTTAAATTGCCCTTTTTTCAGCTCTAAGGACTGAACCCAGGCCTTGTGCATGCTAGGCAAGCAAGCATTCTGCCATTCAGCTACATCCCTAACTAACCTTAAATTGTTTTTTAAAAATAAAAAAGAAACATTTGATTGGTTTCCTGAAGTATTTTCCAAAAAATGACTAGAAGTCAGGGTTCTTTACATGTGAATATAATAAAATTAATTTCTTAAAAATAGAACAATGAAGTTTCTCGCAACTATTCCTCAAACATTTACTCTAAATGTCCTTTAAAAATGTGCCTTATTATTTAAAATTCTGTGGATGGATGACCCTAAGATTTAAAAAAAATGAATGTGTTCAATAGATAAACCTCTATTTCCTTACAGTCAGAAGACATTGAGTCATTGATTCCTAAAGGATTGTCAGAATTTACAAAACAGCAAATTCGCTATATTCTACAGGTGAGATCAACATTAAAAATATCTTATATTATGCCTCTTAATTATGAACAGAAAGTCACAAATAAAATAAGTCATGTTTCACAAGGGTTAATTATACTTTAATTGCAGTACAGTTTACCTAGGCCATCAAAAACTAGTACTGAACAATTAAAATTCAGGAAGTCATTCCAGAAATACTTTATTAATCTCTGCTGTGGAATGTGTTTATTAACTTTTCAGTGCTTTAATACTATCTGACCCTAACTTATAATCTTTGCTATTCTCTATTTCATTCCAAACTCTACACAATACTATCCGACACCAACACTGGAAATAAGAGATGGAAAGGCCAAAAATGCCTTGCTTTTCCTAAGTTGTAGAAGGCTAGAGACCAGTGAAATAGCAGCTTATCCCATGAAGAAGGTAGAGGCAATAGATCAAAACAGCTACCAAGGAAATACTGTATGACTAAAAAGAAGAGTACCTGTATTTGCAAGAAAACATTCTACAAATAATTGTTTTATCTGATACGGCCGGTGTCTAATTTGATATTTGTCCTTAGACATTTGTTGATCATCCAAGTATTGACCATGGTGATGCATTTTTCTTTTCTTTTTTTACCTTTTTATTTTATTGGTACATTTTAGATATACATAATGATAGCATCCATCATAGGGAATTTGTACTTGTATGTATGATGTATTTTTCAAACCTATATATTTTTAACGGAATATGGTATCATAAAGAGATGGTGGTATGGGAACATATATGCTTCTTAGAACTTTAATCTTAGGAGAATCCTGGATATTTTTCTTTTTGCATAAATTTTTTATTGGTACATTTTAGGTATACAATATGTTTACATTTATCGTTGGGTACTTGTACCTGTACATGATGTATTATCTTGCTTCTTATTTTTTTCCCCATGCCCTGTGATCCCTTCACCCCTCCATGCTTCCCTATTTACAAAGACTTTATTTCCATTTTTTCTTTTTCTTATACTTTTTCCTTTCCCTTCTTTCCTAACCCTTCCCTTCCCACTTCTCCTACCCATTGGGACCTTTTCTTCCTATTTCAAATTATCAATTATTCATTTTAATCCTTATTTACCTTTTAGTTTCTCATACCAGAGAAACTATTTGGTATTTACACATGTGTGTCCTATTTATTTCACTTAAGAGTATAGCCTTGATATGCATCCATTTAGCTACAAAAGTCTCTACTTTCTCATCCTTTTGGCTAAGTAGTACTCCATTTTATAAAAAATCCACATCTTTTTTATCCAGCTTCCAGGTGATGGGCACTTGGGCTGTTTCCAAGCTTTAGCTATGACAAACTGTGCCGCTATAAACATGGGTGCACAAATATCACTGTGGTATGTTTCTTTTAATTCTTTTGGGAAGATACCCAGCAGGGGAATACCTGGGTCAAATGGGACCTCTAGTCCTAGTTCTTTGAGTTATCTCCATACTGATTCCACAGTGGTTGCACCAGTCTGCACTCCCACCATCAATGGAGGAGAGTTCCTTTCTTCTCACACCCCCACCAGCATTTGTTATTGGTTGATTTCTTGATAGCAGCCATTCTTTTTGGGGTGAGGTGGAATCTCTGTGTTGTTTTCATCTGCATCTCTCGAATGACCAGTGATGTTGAACATTTTTTCATATATTTATT